CTGGGGCTCACGCTCGTTACCACCTAGACTTAGGGAATTCCACTATTGGCAACTGCAATGGAAACTCAGCCTGTCCAAATGGAGTCAGCCATGCACTACAGGCAAACAGGAGAGCATTGGGGAAAAAGCTGAGCTGACTCTCCCTTGAGGGGTTTTGTGTCTACAAACCTGTCAGGCAATGTTAGCAAATTCAGTAGCATGTGCACGTAATATGTTCAGATGCAAAAGTAATCAAATACAAATTATTGTACACCTACTATAACACGAATCTTAAAGGGGCTTGTTAATAAAAAAAAAAAAAAAGAGCCTGGAGCCAGGTATTGGGGTAAATGCAGCAAGATCAGAGAGAGAGAACAGCCACAGCTAACCTCATTTCACCAATTCCTCAGCTGATCTCGTTTCCTCAAACTGGAAGCCTCTGAGTCCTCATCCAAATGGATCTCAGCTGAACTGCTGCTAAAAGCCTAAAAGGTTAACAAACCTAAAAAGCCTCTTAGTGCCTGGTTTTCACGCCTTATATACCTTTCTGCTTCCTGCCATCACTTCCTGGGATTAAAGGCATGTGTCACCATGCCTGGCTGTTTCCAGTGTGGCTTTGGACTCACAGAGATCCAGATGGATCTCTGCCTTCAGAATGCTAGGATTAAAAGTGTGAGTGCCTCTGTATTTTCTGGCCTCTGTATCTAGTGGCTGTTCTGTTCTGTGACCCCAGATAAGTTTATTAGGGTGCACAATATTTTGGAGAACACAACATCACCACAACCTACTCTGGATTAACCCCTTTGTCAGGCCTCCACAGAGCCCATGCTTTAGAAAGAAGACATCTTTGTTTTAAAAATAAAGGCGATGCCAAATGCAAGTTGCTCTAACAGGTCACAGTTGTAGGAAAAAGGGAAGCATGGTCAGTTCCTCTACTTTAACGTTTGGCAGGTTTTCATAGAGGTTTTCATACCCTGCAACTAACAAGCAGACAGAAAGTTCCTAACTAAGGAAACTGCATTTTCAGAATCCCAGAGGGATAAGAGGACCCAGAATATCTTCATTCCTAGGTCAGAGCTAGAGATACATAGGACTTGGAAGCAGGATGAGGTTAGGGAAGATAAAGTCAGAAATGCAGGCAGGTCCCAGATCCTGAAAGGCTTATCCATTATTCTGAGAGTTTGGGGATTTGTCTTGTAGGTGACAGAGAGCCAATGAGGGACAATAAACAATAGAACATAAAATAAATAAATAGGATTGAAATGTGGTTTTTAAAAAGACTAGTCTAGCTTAATGTTTCTTTTGTTTTTGTTGTGTTTGTGGGATATTTGTACACTGTGAAAATGTATTGCTGTGATTGGTGTAATAAAAAGCTGAACACTCAATAGCTAGGCAGGAGGTATAGATAGGCGGGACTTCTGGCCACAGAGAGGAAGTAGAAGGAAATAATCCAGGCACAGAGAAATGTCAAATGTCAATGAGACATGGAGGGAACTGAACATACAGTAAGAAAGGAAAGGAAAAAGCCACAAGGCAAAACGTAGATGAATATAAATGGGTTAATTTAAGTTATAAGGGCTAGTGGGGCAAGCCTAAACCAAGGCCAAGCTTTCATAATTAATAAGAAGTCTCCTGTGTCATTATTTGTGAGCTAGTGGCCAACAACAAAGCTTGCTACTACGCAAGGTCTTACTATCTAGTTCTGGCTGGGCTGGAACTCAAAATACTGACCACACTCACAGAGATGCACCGCCTCTGCCTCCCCAGTACATCATCATGCCAGTCCAACCAGATCAGGTGGCTGCTGGGAGTAAGCAGTTAGCCCAGAAGGAAAACAATTCAACTCTGAATTAAGGCACTGAATGAGAGACACAAGTTAGAGGGACACAATGAAGAGGGACACAGTTAGAACTATTCAGAAAGTAAAATCAAAAAAGGAGCCATCAAGGAAGCGCCCAAGTTTTTGGCTAAGGCAGATAGGTGCTAGTCAAGATTCTATTACAATCCGAGGGGCAAGCATGTGAGGAACATCAGCTCTGAGAGAAACATTCACAGTTCAGGCTACGGAGAAGGTTTGCCAGGACAGCAGCAGCCTGAAGCCCTTTGCCATGTTTACGTTTGGGAAATAGGGTTTAGGCAGCAGCAGCAGCATATTTCCTGGGAGGGGCTCCCAGGAGGGCCAGGAAAGGATAGCTGTTGAGATGTGACTCTTTCTTTCCCTTCTGTGTACTTGCTGTGATGTTTTGATGAAACTGCAGACTCTAGGCAGGAAAGCCTGTGATTAGTGTAGTGTTCAAGCAGGAAACCCAAAGTGGGGAGAGCAGCCTTGGCAGATGGCCAGCCATGGTTGGCACAGTTCCTGGGGTCTCGGAAGTTGCTTGGGAGCTCACTGGGCTGTAGCCTAACTCCAGCTGAAGGATTTCTGAGAGGAAATCATAGTAGGATTTTCATACTTGGGGTTTAGGGACCTTTCTTTTATGTGCCTAGCACTTCAGAGTTTACAAAATGCTTTTACACTCATTGGTAACTTTTATTTTCACCAAGACATGTAGTATTTTTCCCAATCCATGTGTTTTCAAACAATACTTGGGAGTTTTAAGTGGTTTTTTTTCAAAAGCGCATAGCTAGAAAGTGCCAAAACCATTGACCTAGATTAGATATTTTATGTTGGCAAAACAATTGGGAAGTAAAGGTCTTATTCTGGGTGAGGATGCAAATTGAGCCGGCTTTTCACAACACATTGTCAGAATCTTTTAAATGTGGTTAGTCTTTCATCTGGCAGTTCTAATTCTGGGTCTGTGTGCCAACCTATGCTCACCTTAAAAAGCAAAGCTCGAAGTGAATCCAACATTAAAATGTGATCCCAGTGGCCTTAGGGAAGAGTGAAAAGGCAATACAAGGACACATTACCAAGCTGGTCACCATTGTGTGCAAAGAGGACCTGATCCTGCTGGAACTCTCTAAGGAACACAAAGAATTCTGAAAGGCAGAGGGGGAAATGTATTCACAGGCTCTCACCTACATTAGTTTCTCCACAGAATGTTAACTCATACTTTGTGGTTTACCAGATGGGTTCCCAGAAGTATCCCAAAATGTATTTACATATCGGCTTCGTAGTTAAAAATAAGGTTAGTGGGACTAACCTGGGACTGATGCTGGTGCTGTCATTGGAACACAGATCTCTGAAAAGTGCAATTTCGGAATCTGGAAGTTATAGTTCTATAGAACTGGAGTTAACAAGAACAGGATCCAGACCCTTGGAGGTTCAAGGGGAACCAATCAAGCAATTAACAAGGTTAATTCTCTGCCATGGGAGACTTTCCCTGTTCCATAGCACAATGACCTCATAATGCCAGATATTCTGTTGGGCAGTGCAACCAGAGGACAGCAGAGAAAAGGCTCTCTGTACCCAGTGTCAAACACAAATGATTATCAAAAATCCAGTTCTTCTCAACTGTAGTAGCTACAGGATTCACCTGGAAACCTGCTGTAAAGTTAAACTCCTGGGTCCCGCCTAGAAATTACAATTTGTGTCTACATAATAATCTACCTAAATAATCCTAGATTTCCCATTTTCAATCCCTCCAGCAATTCCTCTGTAGGTGATCCAGAAGCACACTTGATAAACACTGGCCTTGAACCTAGACTCTGAGTCCTGAGAGGGGAGAACTTGTGCCTATCCCTGGTTCTCTACAGAATACCCTATTTAATCCAGGGACCAGGTAATTGTTCACTGAATTGTTCAAACCAACCCTCTAAAAAAGTGTTTCAACATGCAGAGATGACCAAACCAAACTAGTGGGAAATCATGAAAGTTAGATCAACGGCTGTGGCGCCTACATGGGACTGGACTAGGCCCTCTGCATGGCTAGACAGTTGTGTAGTGTAATCTGCTTGGGGGGGCCCCTGATGGTAGGATCAGAATCCATCCCTGGTACATGAGAGGGCTTTTTGAAGCCCACTACCTATGATGGGACACCTTGTGCAGCCTTGAGGCAGGGGGAAGGGTTTGGACTTGCCTCTACTGGATGTGCCTCCCCATGGGAGGCCTTGCCTTCTTGTGGGTTGGAGTGGGAGGTGAGTTGGGAGAAGGGGGCTGGGGGGTGGGGGGGGGCAGAAGGAGGGAAGGGGGGATCTTTGATTGATGTGTAAAATGAATGAAAATTTTTTCTTAAAAAAATAAAAAAGTGTTTCAAATAGGGTCAGCTCAAATCTGTGGCCTCTCTGCATCGTTAGGCCATGGGACTCTATGGGAGTGGTCTAGAAAAGGGGATTCAAACTCACTAAAAGCTAAATGATAATCCATGAGACCAAATAATTCATTAACATGTAAAAAACAACTACAAACTATTTGAATAATATATTTTCTCTTAAGAACAAAACCCATCTATGAAACTAATCTAGTACCAGGTTGTTTGCCTGACAAGAGTAAAGGGCCCTTGAGCTCTCTAGCTCAGGCAGCCCACTAATCATCTTATCTACTTTTGCTTTCAGATAAAAACACTCCCTGCTTTAAAAAAATAAAATAAAAGAGTACATGTAATTTAATAAATGCTAGACTTAAACTATTAACAGGACAAAATTTATGAGGTAACATACAAAAGCATTATATAAAGTAAGTTATTACCATGTTGGAAAATACGCTGAAAACATTTCATTTGGGGGTAATATGTGCAAGATCTGGAGCCAAACACAAGAGAAAACAGGAAACAACCGCTGTGCTTCCCTAAGCCCAGGTTTTCTGTAACAGAAATAATGCTAGATTCTACCTTTGAAGTTTTGTGAGAATTCAGTCAATGTATGTGTTCCATTTCCTCTACTTCCATTCTCAATGTTAATAGATGGTTCCCTTTCTGCTCCCATCACGGGCTCTAATGTCACACAGAAAAATACAGACGGCCCTTAACAACTTGGTTCACTGATCTCCCGTCTTCAACCGTCGATACAAAATGCTCCCAACACGTAGACCTATCGCCTAACTCTTCAAACGTAGAAATGAACGGTACGGACAATGCACGGACCTTACTAAGGAGTGTCAATGTGGATGTTTCCTGAGGTCCGTGGCAAGACTGTCAGAAGAATGTGCTGCTGTAACTCTGCTTTCCAGTTAGGATGGAATAGTGGCCTGGAAGGAGGGGTAGGAAGGGGCCGTTGGGAGAAAACGAAACAGCAGCCTTACTTTCTGGAAGGATGCAAAGAAGAGCACTGAGCATGTCTGGATTTTGGACTAGGTCAGAGTGTCATGATGAGGGTCCCAGCAGCCAAGGCTCCCGGAAATGGGTGGGCCCGAACCCGAGAAGCGCACGCGCACTGAAGTCGCAAAGCCCCTCTGGGTCCGGTAGCTTACGTCAACGTCTACGTGAAAGACGTAAGGGATCTCGCGGGGAGGGGAAAACGCCGGGCCGAGTCACGTGACGGGCGCGCCGGGCGTTGGCTCCTCCCTCCCCAAGATGGCGTCCCTGCTGCAGTCGGAGAGGGTACTCTATCTCGTCCAAGGAGAAAAGAAGGTTCGGGCCCCGCTCTCTCAGCTCTACTTCTGCCGCTACTGCAGCGAGCTGCGATCGCTGGAATGTGTGTCGCACGAGGTAACTGGGCCGTTCCGCGGGGGGGCTGCGCGCCGGGGCGGGGGGTGCTCTTCCCAGTCACTGCGGCTGGCGGGAAGTTCCGCCGGGGAGAGGCGGGGAAATCGTGGGTCTAGCTTTCTGATTGGCCAAGTGCCCTATCACTCATCGGGGTGTGCCATTTCATTTGCTTGTAAATTGTCACTTGGAAAAGGGGCGGCCCCGGGTGGGGCTGAGCAGATCCTCTTGTTCCAGAGCTGCCTGTGTAGCTGGACAGATTTGCCCTGGACCCTGCGGTCGCCTGTGCGACTTGAGAATTGAGGGCTGGGAGATAGGTCGGGGGTTGTCTAGCTCGAGTCTCTGAAAGGCAGAGGAAGCTGTTTTCTCATCGTTAATGCCCCGACAGCCCCTCTCGCTCGTGGCCCTCTCCTCTGAGAAGTCCTGACCCTGCTTTAACCAGAAGCGGGGCCCTGTCCAAACAGCTTACCCCGTTTCCTAAGCCAGACCAAGGACTGAAGCAAGAAGACTTGTGTGATAGGTTGATTTGAGTAGCAAACGCATAGAGTAGTCTGCTAAAAAAAGAAGCTCAAGAGTTCTATTCACGGGCCCAGGTGGTCATTGGAATAGAATTGTTCACCTACTAGCAAAGTCCCAAACCTTTTGCTGCTTTTGACAGGACTTGTATTTCTACTGCGCTGCCGTTGTGAATCTCAACGGTCTGGTGGAAAAACTCATAGAAATAATGGCCGAGTTTATTCCGTATTTAACTGTGTGGCAAAGGCTTTGCATAATCTTTCCAGCTAATGAAGGTGGAGGCTTGGGTTTGGGAGATTTTGGATGGGGGTGGGGGGTGGGGTTGAGTCAGGGTTTCATGGAGCCCAAGCTAGCCTCAAACTTACTGTGTAGCCAGTGCTGGCTTTTAACTCCTGGTTTCCTGCCTTCACCTCCCAAGTGCCAGGATTATCAGTGTACACCACCATGTCCAGCTGTTGAAGGTGCGTGTTGTTGCAAGAAGGGGGGAAAAAAAAAAAGCTGTATTGCGGTGACTCAGGCCTATAATCCTAACACCCGGGAGCCTGAAGCAAGAGAGGAATGCTGTGAGTTCAAAGCAAGCATTAGCTGCATAGTAATTTCTAGGACAGGCCGCTACAGTGTGAAACGCTTTCTCAAGGCTCACACCCCACCCCCAAATGTACAGGTTAAGAAGCAAACCCAGAATGTTTCTGGTAGATCACAGAGTTGTTTAGAAGTTTGAAGGAAGATGTGAATCAGAGACTAGGATCCCTGGGGGGGGGGGGGGGGGGAATGCATGTGAAAACATGGCCTGTGGTGTTAACCATTTTACATGTTCTTTTATTAGGGATACTTTCCAAACTATTAAGAATGGTTAAACAGAGAGTATAAGAAATCCAAACCCAGTCGTGTTTATATATACTTACATATTTATATCATAGATGTGATTTTTCTTGGATTTCGCATTAGCACTTTGTGTGATAGCTAGAATTGTGTAATTATCAAATAAAACCTACTTACTACATACATACTTTTTTATAAAATCTTTTTTTTAAAAGAGTGGATCTAATATCTCGACTGTGTTTTGAGTAAAGTACAATAAGATGGTTGTTGTTCAGTTTGTTATTCAAAACGTCTCTGACTGGGGAACTGAAGAGATGGCTCAGCAGGCAAAGGCTCTTGCTGCCAAGCCTAACAGTCTGAGTTGGGTCCCCAGGACCTCCGTGGTGCAAGGAGAGAACCAGTTCCTGTGAGTTGTCCTTGTCATCCCCATATGCTATGAGCTGTAGTACCTACCTGTAGGCCACCTACCTCATCACATCAGCACAAAACAAATTTAAGATAAGTAGATGAAAATCTCTTGTTTGGGGGCTGAGGTGGTAGTTCAATTGGTAAAATGCTTACAAACATGCCAGGATCCCAGAACATATATACGTACAAGCTAGGCACGGTGGCACATAATCCTATTGCAGGCCAGCCAGCCTTATCTACTTGGTGAGCTCCGGGCCAATGAGAGGCCCTCTCTTATAAAAAAGGGAGGGGCAGGGGGCAGTGCTTGAGGTTGTAGCACCTGAGAGTTTCCTGAGACCTCCACACACATGCACACACAGAAAATTTTAAGAAATAGATCTCTAATTGGCTGGCTATAACTGTAAATTTTTATATATACTTAGTAAATATATTACATCACTAATGAGAAAACTTGATGCCTTCAAGAGCTACCTTTTTAAAAAAAAAAAAAAGATGTTATGATGAATGTTTTGCCTGCATGTATGTCTGTGCACCATGTACATGCCTGCTGCCTGTGGAGGTCAGAAGAAAGCACAGGATGGGCCACCCTGTGGGTGCTGCTGAGAATCTAACCCCAGTCCTGCAAGAGCAGCAGATGCCCTTAATCACAGGCCATCTCTCCAGACCCAACTTAATGTCTTTTAACAAAGGTATTGCTGAGTTCGTTGTAATGTAATCAGGCCAAACTAGATGGGAGGCTGATCACAGCTTTACACTTGCATTATTAATCAACTCATTAGACCATAGAGTTATTCATTTAGAAGCTTTGAAGTATCATGTAGACAAGTCTTGACGAAGCTCATGTGTAAAGCTTGATGATAGGGAACAGAACATAAGAGAAAGAAAAAGGATTAAAAGAGAAAATTCAAAACCAACAACAGAGAGGTAATTGCTTAGTTGGAAACAGTCCAGGCATTTTGTCTGTTTTTTCCCAGATCAGTAATGTCTTACCTTCTGGTGCGGTATAGCATATTTTAATAATGAATTTCTTTTTCCTCTGATTTTTTTTTTATTTCCTCATAGGTGGACTCACATTATTGTCCCAGCTGCTTAGAAAACATGCCATCAGCTGAAGCCAAATTAAAAAAGAATAGGTAAGAAGAGGACAAATTTTTCAGTTTTCCATTTGTTGTTGGTTTTGTGGGCACTGAGGCTGAACAGGGTCTTACTTTATAGATCAGATCTCAGATTTTGATTCCTCCAGCCTGCGTGCTAGGATTACAGCACAGTTGTTTTAAGTAGCGGGTAAGAAAACACACAGGATTAAAGTTTTTCCTGTTTGAGCATCATTGTTGCCTAAGATACCTTGTGTAGCCCAGGCTGGCCTCGAACTCACTCTGTAGCCCAGGCTGACCTCGAACTCAGAGATCCACCTGCCTCTGCCTCCCAAGTGCTGGGGTTAAAGGCATGCGACACCACTCCCTGGCTTTGATTTTATTTTTTAATACAGTGTCTTTATTAGGAAACTTCTAAGAATTATTTGAAAATAGTGCAGTCCTCCCGCTTCGTTAAGAAACAGTATTGATTTAGTTATGTCACCACAGGCTTCTTGTGGTTGGGACTGTTTCTTAGACTTTCTCTCTTGAGTTTAAAAGTATTGAGGGATCTCGGTGCAGTATCTATCAGATAGACTCAGTGTCTGTGATGTTTTTCTCACTAGACAGGAGAATGGGTCAGAATCGGGAGTTAGACTCCCCTCTCAAAGTCTAGCTACATAAATGTTTAGGGCTTTTTCCATAGTCTGCCTCTTTTCTCTATTTAATCATTACTCGTGAATATTTATTTTGTACATCAGGCTGTGATACTGATTTGTTTTGTTGGTTTTTCTCCCTTGCCTGTTCCATCTTTGGCCACTGGGAGCTCTTTTACTTTTCTCCTGGACCCCTGTAGCCTCGATCATTAGAAAAGAGAGAATGTTGTCATGTTCCTTTTATCTGAGCAATTTCTTACCAGTGTAGTACTGTACGGTATTTTAAGCTTACCTGGTCTACTTTCTGCCTCTAACTTAGAATTTATTATTTCTCAGAGAAGCTTGGTTCTTTTTACCGGAGGACATTAAGAACCAAGACCTGGCTGCTAGATGTAGTCTTTGCTCCTAGCTACTGCTGGGATTTTAGGTTGGTGTGAAAATTCCTGTTACCGGCCATATTCCTGTTCATTTGTGGTTGTGAGCCACTGTTACTTGTCTTTCTTGCTCCAGGAAATAGTTCCTGAGAATTAGATGCTGTATTGTATGCTTTCTATATGTTCATTTATCACTTAATTTTTCAAATGATTCTGTAAGGTAGGTGGTATTATAGACAGGAATCTGTAACAGATGATCGATATTGGACAAGACTACAGGTGAAATCTTGATAATCTCAGGCTGTGGGAGTTCTGAAAGCACTGGGTGTGGTTGCTCACAGCTATAATCCCAGCACTTAGAGCCACGGGCAGAAGGATCACAAATCCAAGGCCAGTCTGAGCTGAATAGACTTTGTTTCAAACAAACAGGGTCCAGGGTTCCCAAAGGGAAACGTTATCTGATGCATCTCAGGAGAGAACAGAAGCCCTTTGAGTGCCCCACTGACCACACCCCTTCCATGGTGGTGTCTGTTCTCTGCAAGTGCCCCACTGTGACCACGCCCCTTCCATGGTGCTGTGTTTCAGGTCTCTGGCACAGCAGTCAAACAGTAATTTTCCAAATCCAGTTTCACAGTTGCTTATGTTGTTGACCCTGAGTTTTCTGTCACACAGTACTCTATCCTCTAACAGCATAAACTATGACATTTGCTTTTTCCTTTAAAATCTCTGTGTCCTGTATAGCCATAAAAAAATAAATGTGGAATAGTAAACTCCACCTAGAAACAGTGATTTTTCTCTGTAGAGGAGATGGAGTTGGACTCTTAATTTGTCACAAGCTTTGG